GAGCAGATGTATGTTATAATGGTGAACTGTGGAGCAGATGAGTGTTATAATGGTGAACTGTGGAGCACATGAGTGTTATAATGGTGAAATGTGGAGCAGATGAGTGTTGGTAATGGTGAACTGTGAGTTACCATGAGTGTACAATGGTGAACTGTGGAGCAGATGAGTGCTATAATGGTGAACTGTGGAGCAGGTGAGCGTTATAATGGTGAACTGTGGAGCACATGAGTAAGTTATAATAGTGAACTGTGGAGCAGGTGAGTGTTATAATGGTGAACTGTGGGAGCAATACGAGTGTTATAATGGTGAACTGTGGGATAGATGAGTGTTATAATGGTGAATCAGTGCAGATGAGTGTTATAATGGTGAAACTCGTGGAGCAGATGAGGTTATAATGGTGAACTGTGGAGCAATATGAGTGTAATAATGGTGAACTGTGGAGCAGATGAGTGTTATAATGGTGAAACTGTGGAGCAGGTGAGTGTTATAATGGTGAACTGTGGAGCATGGCGTTATGAATAGTGAACCGTAGCTTGCGGTGAGCGTTAATGGTGAACCGTGGAGCAGATGAGAGCGTTATAATGGTGAACTGTGGAGCACATGAGCGTTATAATGGTGAACTGTGGAGCAGACGAAAGCGTAATAATGGTGAACTGTGAGCACATGAGTGTTATAATGGTGAACCGTGGTGCAGATGAGTGTTATAATGGTGAAATGTGAGCCTGCGAGCGTTATAATGGTGAACCGCAGACAGGTGTGAGTGTTATAATGGTGAAACTGTGAGTTAAGGCGTTATAATGGTGAAATGTGAAGCACATGAGTGTTGGTACGAGAACTGTGGAGCAGGTGAGTGTTATAATGGTGAACCGTGGAGCAGATGAGTGTTATAATGGTGAACTGTGAGCAGATGAGTGTTATAATGGTAAACTGTGGAGCAGATGTATGTTATAATGGTGAACTGTGAGCAGATGAGTGTTATAATGGTGAACTGTGGAGCATGAGTGTTATAATGGTGAAATGTGAGCAGATGAGTGTTATAATGGTGAACTGTGGAGCAGATGAGTTTTATAATGGTGAACTGGAGCAGATGTGTGTTATAATGGTGAACTGTGGAGCAGATGAGTGTTATAATGGCGAACTGTGGAGCAGATGAGTGTTATAATGGTGAACGTGGAGATGAGCGTTATAATGGTGAACTGTGGAGCTGATGAGCGTTATAATGGTGAACTGTGGAGCAGATGAGCGTTATAATGGTGAACTGTGGAGCAGATGAGTGTTATAGTGGTGAACTGTGGAGCACATGAGTGTTATAATGGTGAACTGTGGAGCAGATGAGCGTTATAATGGTGAACTGTGGAGCACATGAGTGTTATAATGGTGATCTGTGGAGCAGAGGAGGTTATAATAGTGAACTGTGGAGCAGATGAGCGTTATATCGGTGAACTGTGGAGCAGATGAGCGTTATAATGGTGAACTGTGACAATATGAGCGTTATAAATGGTGAACCGTGGAGGATGAGTGTTATAATGGTGAACTGTGGAGCAGGTGAGTGTTTATAATGGTGAACTGTGGAGCACATGAGTGTTATAATGGTGATCCGTGGAGCAGAGGATGGCGGTTGCGAACTGTGGCGGTGATGAGTGTTATAATGGTGAACTGTGGAGCAGATGAGTGTTATAATGGTGAACTGTGAGCACATGAGTGTTATAATGGTGAACTGTGGAGCAGATGAGTGTTATAATGGTGAACCGTGAGCAGGTGAGCGTTATAATGGTGAACTGGAGCACATGAGTGTTATAATAGTGAACTGTGGAGCAGGTGAGTTATAATGGTGAACTGTGGAGCAAATGAGTGTTATAATGGTGAACTGGGAGCACATGAGTGCAATAATGGTGAACTGTGAGCAGATGAGTGTTAGTAATGGTGAACCAGGAGCAGGTGAGTGTTATAATGGTGAATCAGGAGCTACGAGCGTTATAATAGTGAACTGTGGAGCAGGTGAGCGTTATAATGGTGAACTGTGATACCACGAGCGTTATAATGGTGAACTGTGGAGCAGCATGAGTGTTATAATGGTGAACTGTGGTGCAGATGAGTGTTATAATGGTGAACTGTGGAGCAGATGAGCGTTATAATGGTGAACTGTGGAGCAATATGAGGCAACAATGGTGAACCGTGGAGCAGATGTGAGCGTTATAAATGGTGAACTGTGGAGCAGGAGTGTTATATCGGTGAACTGTGGAGCACATGAGTGTTATAATAGTGAACTGAAGCAGGTGAGTGTTATAATGTGAACCGTGGAGCAGATGAGTGTTATAATGGTGAACCGTGGAGTACATGAGCGTTATAATGGTGAACTGTGGAGCAGATGAGTGTAATAATGGTGAACTGTGGAGCACATGAGTTGGTGAACTGTGGTGATGAGTGTTATAATGGTGAAAATGTGGAGCCCATGAGCGTTATAATGCGGAACTGTGGAGCAGGTGAGTGCTATAGCAGGAACTGTGGAGCACATAAGTGTTATAATGGTGAAAATGTGAAGCACATGAGTGTTATAACGGTGAACCGTGGAGCAGGTGAGTGTTTATGGTGAACTGTGGACAGATGAGCGTTATAATGGTGAACTGTGAGCAGATGAGTGTTATAATGGTAAACCGTGAGCAGATGTATGTTATAATGGCGAACTGTGGAGCAGATGAGTGTTATAATGGTGAACTGTGGAGCACATGAGTGTTATAATGGTGAAAATGTGAGCAGACAGAGTGTTAATGCGAACTGGAGCAGATGAGCTTTTATAATGGTAACCGTGGAGCAGATGTGTGTTATAATGGTGAACTGTGGAGCAGATGAGTGTTATAATGGTGAACTGTGGAGCAGACGAGCGTTGTAATGGTGAACTGTGGAGCAGTATGAGTGTTATAATGGTGAACTGTGGAGCTGATGAGTTATAATGGTGAACTGTGGAGCAGATGAGCGTTATAATGGTGAACTGTGGAGCAGATGAGTGTTAGTGGCGAACTGTGGGAGCGCCATGAGTGTTATAATGGTGAACTGTGGAGCAGATGAGTGCTATAATGGTGAACTGTGGAGCACATGAGCGGTTATAATGGTGGATCTGTGAGAGTGTTATAATAGTGAACCGTGGAGCAGATGAGCGTTATAATGGTGAACTGTGGAGCAGATGAGTGTTATAATCGGTGAACTGTGAGCACATGAGTGTTATAATGGTGAACTGTGAGCAGATGAGTGTTATAATGGTGAACTGTGGAGCAGGTGAGGTTATAATGGTGAACTGGACATGAGTGTTATAATAGTGAACTGTGGAGCAGGTGAGCGTTATAATGGTGAACTGTGAGCAAATGAGCAGTAATGGTGAACTGTGACACATGAGTGTAATAACGGTGAACTGTGGAGCAGATGAGTGTTATAATGGTGAACTGGAGCAGGTGAGTGTTATAATGGTGGAACTGGAGCACATGCGTTATAATAGGAACTGGAACTGAGACGGTGAACCGTGAGCAGATGAGCGTTATAATGGTGAACCGTGGTGCAGATGAGCGTTTTAATGGTGAACTGTGGCGATGAGCGTTATAATGGTGAACCGTGGAGCACATGAGCGTAATAATGGTGAACTGTGGAGCAGATGAGTGTTGGCGGTAATGGTGAACCGTGGAGCAGGTGAGTGTTATAATGGCGAACCGTGGAGTTACCATGAGCGTTATAATAGTAACCGTAGCTGCGGTGAGTGCTATAATGGTGAAACCGTGGAGCAGATGAGTGTTATAATGGTGAACTGTGGACACATGAGTGCTGGCAATGGTGAACTGCGGAGCAGACAGAGGTAATAATTGGGAGTGTTAATGGTGAATTCAGGTGCAGATGAGCGTTATAACGGTGAAACGGTCAATGAGTGCTATAAATGGTGAACTGTGAGCAGGTGAGTGTTATAATGGTGA